TTCCCCCCCCCCCCCCCCCCCCTCTTGAGAGGTGTTTGGGGAAGCTTCAGCCCAAATCACAGGAAGTACCAAGAAAGATGGTCTGGGGCCTTACTGCTCTGGAGCAGTCCTCTGTACCATAGGGGTATGGGTTGTTGCCAATATGTGTGGTACTGAACAGACAGATGTTCCTTCTCATTTGCTCTGACTCTTCTGTGCTCCCAGCACCCTCAGGACCATATTTGTCCTCTCCCTGTTTCATAGATTTAAGGCCAGAAGGGACCATGAGATCATCCAGCCTGACCTCCTGCATAGCCTAGACTACAGAATTTCATTTACACCTAGAGAGAAGATGGTTCTTCCTTCCCAATATCTCCGACACCTACTCTAGGTATTCCGAGCTGCTCCACACCTCAGGTTTCTCTTTCCTCTGTCTCCTACCATCCCTTCCATTCTGCAAGTCACCTCACTTTGCTTTTCCTGGCACACAGACACTTTTAAATGCCCTCACAGGACATTTTTGCTCCTGTGTCCGATCCTGCTCCCTGTCTACATGCTCCATTAAACCCATGTCTCTGCTTCTTTTCCCCAAATCCTGGAACAGGTCCCCTGGTCTCACATTACTGATAGCTCTCCCCTTTGAAAGAAATGACAATGCCAGTAACTCAAACCATGTAATCTCTGATGCAGTCACCACATACAGCTCACTTTTGTGGCAAGGTATAAATAGCAGTGAAAAGAAAGAAGGTCCTTGCCCTAGGACACTTAGATAGACCACCTAGATTAGACCCATGCTGCCTTGGATGACCAATCAAAGGTGCAACCTCTAGTCAGCAAAGATTTCCTGTCAGCTCCTTCCTTTGGCGACTGGAAGACTTTATGAAAGAACATTTTAAAGAGGCTATTGAGAAAGGTGAGGAAGACTGTTTGGAAGAAAACAGAAGGGGTGTTGTTCCAAGTAGAAAAGTCAGAACAGTGGTGGGGAGGGGGGCCTCACTTTTGAGATTGGAAGAAGAATCCAAGTGGAGCAAACAGGCATGGGGCATGAATGGGTACGATCAGTCCACAGGGTGAACAGGGCTTTGTTCAACTTCTGAGCATACAAGGTCAATTAATGTTGGGGCAAGGGGAGCAATTGTGCAGTGACACAGGCCAGTCTGAATTGTCTGTGGCTGGGCATGCAGGCACCAGCCAAGGTTGGCTCCAGTTCAGGAGCCGCTGTCAGGACTCAGATTAGCATGAAGGTTATTCCAGTCAGATATTTCTATAGCCCACCCCTTTCCCCTCCCTTAAAAGGGATTGGATTTCTTTTGCTCATATTTGGGAGAGAAGAAAGACTGTG